GCAGGCAGGCAGGCAGGCAGGCAGGCAGGCAGGCAGGAAGGAAGGAAGGAAGGAAGGAGAGAGACAGGGAGAGGGAGGGAGGGAGGGAGGGAGGGAAAGGGAAGGAAGGATACTGTACCTGCATCAGGTTAAACCTTGCCACTTCATTGATTGGAGCATCTGAAATAATCCCATACTGTTCTGGATTGACCACTGCAGGACAAATGAAACAAGCCAAGAGCAAGTCTGTGCACATGGCCCTCACCTCCCCCATCTCCAGTCTGTCCACACACGAGAGTGTCTTGTACATCTGGGACATGATCCACCGCAAGCTGTGTGGGAAGCAGTAAGTGTTCTGCTTGAGGTAGCCAATGAACTTGTTGACCAGGGCCACCAGTTTGGCCTCGTTGGATTCCACCATCTCCTGAACTTTCTGCCGGAACTTTTCGGACCCTTTCTCCCCGAAGAGCTTCTCTTGCTGGGCAGGCGAGAAGCGTTCAATCAGCTTGTTAGGGTCAGTCTCCAGATGATCTTCATCCTCCACCAGCAGCTGCATGATGGGTTCATGCAAGGTGGCAGTGAGGAAGAGCTTAGCAGAAAAGAGACCCTCAGAAAAGAGCTTGAAGAGGATGCTGAACGCACATGTTCCTCTTCTCAACAGCCGCCGAGGGTTGTCACTCTCTTTGAGTTCAAACTCAATCAGGTAGCGCAAGACCTGGAGAAGGAAGTTCTCATCTTCAGGCATGATGCAGTTGCCATAGATGGAGGTGAAGACTGTGTGGATGACATTCTGGGTGTTCTCCTGGTTGAGCTTCTCCCCGGCCACCAGGCAGGAAGCAATAAGGCGAGGGTTCTCTCGCAACCGGTTGAGGAATTCGCCATAGGCAGTCTCTTGAAACCCCAACTGTTTGTAACCATCCACAAACTGCGTGTCCTCCAAGACCTTGGCGTGTTGGCAACATTCAGCTGGGGAGGCATCCGCGCTGTAATAAGAGGAGGAGGAGACATTTTCTTACAAGCCCTATCCACAAAGAAGGCAGACCACCAACCCACAAAAGTGGACCACGAGTCCATGCACGCAGAGCTACATTTTCTTAGCGGTTTGCCAGAGGGCTATAAAATACAATTTCTGACACCCTTCTTTAGTAACGGAATATTCAGTGGATTTTTAAAGCACGCTTAAGGCTATGTATGGCTTTCCGAAACGAATTCACATTTGCAGTATCATCAAAGATTTAATTTATCTTTTTTACCATTTCGTATGCTTTGGTTTTTGTCCTTTATTTTTCTAGGGAGGGGGGCTGGTGTGGGTGATGGTATTATTACCGTTGTGATTGTTTTGATTGCTTTTAACCTCACCATGGATATTTTTAACTTTTGTTTATAGCCTGTAAGCTGCTGGGAATCATTTGATTGTGGCAAGGTAGAAGAACTATAAATAACAAATAAACGACTTATCTATCACATTGATACCTACTACAAACGCGAAATTCTCTAGTTTGCAGGAATTATAAGCGACACGAGTATTTAAATAAAACATCAATGATAGGAACTAAAATATATCACATTTTAAGCCATAAACCTATTCAAATCAATCAAACTGGGCACCCGATCAGCTGCTATAGGCCCTCCAGAACAGCTCAATTGTCATGTCACCCCCCACTGGATAGACCAGACTGAGAAATCAGCTCCACAGGAAGGCTAAAATTACTTTTATTAAGATGGTCTATAACAGAATCTTGCAAGTCTGATTGTGCTGGACCTCCTTCCTTATTATACTCCAGCGAATTGGGGTGAGGGGACAGAATCTCTACCCGAGCAACTTCCCAATATTATCTCTATAGCCACGATGTCAGTGGCAGCCAACCTAATTTCTAAGTTAAGGCTGTTCCATAAAGTGCCACTCTGCTGAGAAGCAGTGCCTAATATTGTTTACCCTGAAAGGGATAGCACAATGGGTATGAATGTACAGGCAGTCCTCAGTTTAAGAACAAGTTCTGTTCCCAAGGTCTGTCTGTAAGTCGAATTTGTATGTAAGCCAGAACAGTATTATTGTATAACACTCAAACCATGGTGCACTGAACTCAAATCATTGTGTATTTATCTCAAATTTTGCTACAATAGGCTCCGTTCTTAACCAGGTCATCCTTAAACCTGGCGTTCTTAACCCAGGGACTCCCTGTATACACATCGTTCTATTGTCTTCACTATGTTTAATGATTTAAATCATTTTGCAGCCTGTCCAAAGAAACCCAGTGGCTGGGCAGATTAGAAATAACATCAGTAAAGATGCTAAATAATACATTTCTTAGTGTTTCTGAAAATACTCCCTACTTTCGAAGGAAGAAAGAGTGAGGCTTTGGGGGTGTATCCCACATTACCTTGTTATGATTAATCGATCCAAGTTGATCCTCTGTTGCTTGGAGATCCAAGCTGTGTGGTAGAGCTTCTCAGCCGTCTTCAGCACTTCCGCATTCAGCCTCTGGATCAGCTGCTTTTCAGAGTTCACATAAAGCCGTTCCTGTTTGAGGTGGTGGGCCAAGGTGTGGATGTCCAACTTGACCATCTTCGAAGGAGGCAGCAGCAGAAGAATTCAGCAGAACTTGCTGCCCAGGGAAAACAGAAAGAGATCAGCTTCTGTACCACCTCAGAGAAAACTCACAATGCCTTCTCCGTGGCAGGAGTACCACTAGGGAACTCCTTCCCAATCAGGACCCACCAGGCTCCCCCCCCCTTTTTTTAAGACGGTGAAGAACACTTTAAGCTGGTTTGTTTAAGCAGCAACAAGACACTATAGTTACACTACAGATCGACCAGCTCTTGAAGTTCTAAACCACTGCTATTTATTGCTTTAAGGAAGTGTAACGTTATTGCTTCATTATGTTTTCTCTAGACCATGAAAGCCTTTATTATACTAAGAGGAAAAGAGGATATACTGTATATGAGGCAGTTAACCAATCTATCATCCCCATTCAGAGTTTTCTGGGGCACAACAATTTTCTAGGTTTGAGTGTTTCCTGTTTCAAGCCCTGGAACGAACCAACTTGCTGAAAGCAAGCTCTGTTTCACTTTAAACTAGTCACTGACAAGCTTTAGGGAACAAAAGCTTTGCACAAGCTTTCGTAAAAGCTCTGTACTGAAATAGCAGAAGCATGCAACTGGTGTAGGAATTTTTTAAAGGATCTGATGTTTCACAAAGGAACACTTTAATCAAAAGGGAACTATTCAGCATTTTATGGTAATATAATCTCAGAACAGGCACTTGTACAACACGCTGTGGGATGATACAGAAAAAGAAAGGAGAAAAAATCAATGCCATCTTGTTCACTCACCCAACTGTAAATATTCAAGAGAGGGGAGAAAGGCAGAGTGAGGAATATTTTTTTATCTACAGACATTTATATCCCTCTCTTCAAATACATGTATATCATTCAAAGGGACTTCCAATGTGAAAGCATAGCTGGTTTATAAACTGAATATTCACAACATTAATATTCACAATCATTAAAAATACAGAGAGAAAGGCTGTAGATGGAGCAATGTTTAAAAACAACTTGCGGACAAAAATTCTGCAAGAATGCTGGAAAAAAAATACTTTTTCAACTGATAAAAAAGACTTCCTATGTTTCATCAGACAAGAAATTCCACAATAATGGGGCAGCCCCTGAAAAAGCCTTGTTTCTTGCCAACTCCCATCTCATTTCTAACTCTGGATGAGGCTTTGGTTTCAGTGAATGGGCAGGCTGAAAATGACAACCTTCTGCTGAGGAAAATCATTTCTCAAGTTTACTCTGTGCCGTCTACCACAATACAAAACAGCCATCAAACGTTCCATGAAATTATTTTGCACCTTCCGTTCGGATCTGGGTCTCCCAACACTGTCACTCAAAAAAGATTCAAGGAATTCCACTTGACCCTGCCTTGTAAGGAAGCCACCTTCCGTGAGACCTCCCCATCTAGAATGGTTTTTCAAACCCAACCCTGGCAGCTCAACCTCTTCAATCTGCCTGTGATTTTTTTTTTAAATCTTCTTTGCCCTTTTCCCAATCAAAATCTAGAGGAGCAAATCCAATTCTCACCCAAAGTTAAGAACAAAGCCCAAGATTTGACCACGGCTCTGGAAGCAGTCTCTGGATGAATAAGAACAAGACTTGAATTCAGTGAAACAGGAACCCTAACTAAAAAAAAAAAAAACCCAAGAAATAAATGACTGTGTCTCAGTCACACTTTCACTATTGTTATTCTTGCCCTGGATGAGCCAATCTGCTGTGGAAGATTCTCTCGCTAAGAATAATGACTGTAGCCCACACAGGGATATCAAGGCAAGTTCCTCTCTTACCGTGTTTCCGCAAACCTATTAGACATCTGAATGGGACAGTTGCATTATGGTGGAAAAGGTTGGCTGCGCTCTTGTTTTTAAGAGAGAGTGACAGGAAATGTTTTGGCCGTTTCTTTAGAAAAAAAAAATCCAGATTTTTTAGAAGATCAGCTGGTGAGTTCATCAGAAATTTTGGGGAGAGGGCTTAGCTATAAGATTTATATTTATAGAAATAGATAGACATCCATACTGCCCATTTCCCTATACTTTGTATTTCAGGATTCAGAAGACAGACAAAACCACATGTGAGTGTAAATGCTACCCAAAGACCCAGATGTACCTATTTACAGCACATCCATTAAAATGGCCAAATGAAGTTCCCTTGAGAACAGTCTAATACAGTGTTTCTCAATCTCAGCAACTTTAAGATGTGTGGACTTCATCTCCCAGAATTCCCCAGCCAGGATCCTGGCTGGGGA